TCATTTATACATGTTCGGTTTCGGTAGTATAAGTGACTTGCTGAGGGATTCAGCTAGATATTATAATAGCCAAGACATAAAGGTTAATTGAACTCAAGAATAAAACTATCTGTAAATGGAAAACAGCTCACACTCTTAGAAAAGAAAAAAAGCTTATTTCAAATACTATCTTTTCTATAATTTCTATATCACCATGAATGCGACATGTGATATATCGGAAACCTACTCACATCTCATTTATTTTAGGGGGCGAATCCCCCCGGTGAAATATTTAGGGGGTGCAGGTCTCCTTAGCTCTCCTGGTAGAGAGCGTTCCATTGCACAGTAGTTCTAATTAAATTCAACCATTCAAAATAATATTCGTATCGTAATCGTAGCTCATTTAACTATAATTTTCATACGGAGACCGATGGGATTCTAACAGTATCATATTTTAAAATTCGTCACTAGAACATTTTCGAGTAAATATAAAATACCAGGCCAATTCAAAGCTTCGATGTTAATGTTCTAATGGTACAGACGGTAACATTTTTGTGGTAGAAAAGATAAATTTTAAAGTATTTAGTGCCTGACCCATATCCAAACTCTTCCCTATAAACCCCTAATCTATTTCAAGTTATTCAACAAAATTTGATTTCATCTAGCCACTATATAGTCATGTAACAAGCATGACCCAATGGACAGGTATTCTATAATTGTACCGAAATGGATATGCCAAAGGTCTAGTCTTTCCTTGAAACATTTATCTCACATTTCTAAATCAAGAAACAGGACCTTCCGTGTTCACTTTAGTTTCATTTTGTAATAACAAAACCTTGATTATTCAAAATACTTGGAACTGTGAAATCATATGATTAAAACTCCAGCATGATATCAGTTTTCTTTATTTGAACACAATACATAATCACAAGAGCGTACTCAGACTACATAACTCAACCAGCAGGTTGCAACCAATTTTGAATCTACATCATATATAACTCTGTATTGCCATTTCTATATATTGAGGTTTTGGTGCATAAACAACAGACTTTTATACCCATAGTTTACTGTGCGTAATACCATTTGGTCATAACCGTCGTGCAAATCATGTTCAACAATGTGAAACAGTCTGTATCTGCGTTGACTTTTCATACTGTATGCAAATCATTATTTACCGTTAATGCAGAGGTATGCAGCAATAGAGGCCGAGTGGCAGCTGAAATTCGGGCAGGGCACTGTTAAAACCAGGGGGCATGGGGCATACTTTCCCAGGTGAAGCCAGCTAGTTCTATGATATTCTGACACTGCAGAATATACAAGGAAAAGTGTTCTCTGCAATGTCTGAATAATATGAAACTAGTTTTGAAATGAGAAAGCTGGGGATTGATAGGGATACAACTACGTGAAAAATACAAGGATTAATGGCTACTAACTTCACGACGAAGGACCTTCGCCAGAAACGACAAAGTTCTGCTTGTATTTTTCACGTAGTTGTATCTGCAAAGGTAGTTGTATCCACAGCTTTCTTATTATTGACAAGATGAACAATTTCTGTAGAAACCTGAGATTATATGATTAAAAATTGTACTTTATTTTCCATGAAAGACATACATATGTTAAGCTATCGATTGATTAAGTGCAGTCTACTTTTCTTGAAATACACTGGTGCTAAAGTAATTCAGTGTCAAAAAGTAAAATGTGCACTTATGCCCCAAAATAAGAAGTTGTCAATTAATGTTTTTACTTCTAACAATTATATATCACTAGCAGTTTTTGACTTGAAAATAATTTCTCCTGTTTGAGCCAAGGTACATAGCAATACGAACAACACAATGGCTTCAACTGCAACAAAGGCTGATTCAAAGAAATTTTTTGGGCATAACTTAGCTAAACGAGATAAGAAAATATGCAAAAACATCTTGATCATAACATGGTGTTGGAATCAGCTTTTGCATGTTGCTTGGAGAAACTTTGTTATTCGTATTACTTCACCCTCAGTCAGAAATCCCAGCTTAGGTAGGGAAATGCATGGAATTTTACCTCTGAACAAAACGATGTAATATAAACTTGCGAACAAATGTTAAATGTCAAACTTACACATATTTCCTTGTTGAGGGTACAACTTCAGCAACTGCTTTGGACCTTTCTTTATTCATGCTGGGAAGATACTTCCATGTAAAACCTCCCATTGTAAAACATTCCACTGAACTGAGATCAACAGTATAATAGTCATTCTCAGTTCTCTCACCTCCCATGACTACAATTGTATTTCCAGTAATAACTGCACAACATTTATATCTCTTCTCCAACATGGATGGTAAGGCTGTGATCTTGCCCGTCTTGCAGTCATACATGAAAACATCATTCAGAGCTTGACCATCCTCACCACATTGACACTTCAAGTCACGACCTCCAAGTACAACTACTTGATCTCTCCAGCGAACTGTTGCCAT